TTATTAAGAATGAATACCTTTAAGGCGAGAGTCCCCTCCAAATGCTCCACAGCCCCAGTTTCCTGAATAAGATTATAATATGGCTTTAAAGATTTACTGAAGTATGCAGCAGTTCCTCACCCCACCCCCCCTGAATTTTTCCACAGGGGGAACAATAGGGGGAATTATTGCACTCAGGGTTAACTTTAACTAGCACTAATTTTTTTTCCAACATATTCTTCAGCTACTTTTAAAGAGTGATTTGAGTGAGATAGGTTTCTAACCAACCTGTTGCTACTGCAGGGAGGAATTTCTTTTCAGATGGACAAAAGAATCCACAATATGCCTAAACAAGATGAACATATAAAATGATGTTATTGAAGGAGCTTTGCCAGGAATAAATGTTATCCATAGAAATCAAAGCCTTCAAGACATTTTGCCCTCATTGTGCAATAGGCAGAATTTTCATTATGATACAAACTTAGTCACTTATCAATAATTTGCTAATTAATTGTCAGTGGCTTTTTAAAACTTGTCTTCAAGTATTTCAACATTTCTGTATGGTTAATTTCACTGATAAATGATAGCAATGTATACTTTATAGCTTAATAAATTATAACTACTAAATAAATAAATAAAAAATAACTGACTAATAACAAGCTTTGAAACAAGGCTCACCTTATCTAATTCACGCTTTAAGAAACCAGTTCTAAACTGATCAGTATAACTACGAAAGACTTGAGCATCAATTGCAACAACTTGACAATGTCGACGTCCCCAAGAGTCCCTAATATGAAAATGATAATGGTTTAGCATCATTTAATGTCAGTATAGACTGCTCAAAGGGTATTAACCATACCTGGGGGTTTGATCGTCATGGTTACCTGCCCACTTAAATGTGTGCGCATATCCTGTATAGTCACTGTAACGCTGGGCACCTATGAACCAAAACAGTAAGTTTTCATTGTATTATTACTGTTCCAATGAAGAATAAAATCTTTAAAATAGTCTACCAACCTGTGATTATAATGGACTCATTGATATCTATTCTTTCACATATTAATCGCGAAAGCATCATTTCTGGGCAAATTAGAAATCGTATTTCTTCTTGAACACATCCCTGCAAAGAAAAAAGGATCAAATTTATTACTACATTTTATGCACCAATGCTACACCAGTGTGCGTCCATCATGATCTTTCTATTCTATTTGACATTGATCTCAAACATATTCCCATTCAAAATTGTGGAAACTAGCAGTAAACTAGTGTGAGCTGCGTCGGTGTTTCTAAAGAAACAGTAACTTGTGTAAAAAGATAAATTTAACACCATAAAAAAGTAGGTGAAAACACAACTTACTGACATTTCGGACGTTAATCCTTTGTTGGAGTCAAGATGAAAGATTAACGTCTGAAACGTTAGTAGGTTTTTTCACCTACTTTTTTTAACGGTGTTAAATTTATCTTTTTACACAACATATTCCCATTCGGTCTAGCTCAAATTCATCTGCATTTACTTATGGGATACAGCATGCGCCTCTTACCTCACCAATGACGCCACCTCCAATGTATTTATTAGCAAAATCAACCTGTTTACAATGACAGAAAAAGGTTTATAGTGAAGTATGTGAAATGAGGGAGAATGGAAAATGAGAAACTGAAGGAGAAGGGAAAATAGAAGGAGAGGGAGAAAAGAAGGTGTAAATGATGTTGATTAAAAAGCAGAGAACAACAACAAAAAGATTAAGATTGAAAAAACAAGATGAAATTAAAGAATCAATTCAATCTAGATGCTCACCTGTAGAAATCCAGCACCATCGTCTTCAATGGTCCCAGTGGTTGATACATGCAACCTCGTGAACTTTGATGGACACTTGTCCCATCTTGGGAACTTATCACTCTGTATAGACTGCCTTTGAAAGGTAAGCACTCCTGATGGTACTGTAAACACACCAAAAGCATCACAAAAACATCCCTTGTAAAACATACTATTAAAATTCAATAATAATTTGTCAGTTTTAGGCCAAAAAGATGAAGAAATGATTTTTTAAATTATCAACAAAACCATGGCTTACTTGTTTGTGTCACACATTTGAAGTAATGCAAAACTGCTTTTAGCTTTTCAGCTTTAACAGTACTGGTCCCACCTTTACCACCTTGAAATAACCTGTAACACAATCACTTTCACATTATAATTTAACATATTTATATTAAATTCAACAGTTTGACTTTGAAAACAACTTCCTAAGTCCCTTTAAGATTATTCTTCAATCAATCTCAGCAGTACAACAGCACTAGTCCCTTTAAGATTATTCTTCAATCAATCTCAGCAGTACAACAGCACTGATGGAAAGCTGCTTTTTGATTGCTGCTTAAGTACAGCGGCTCTATTGTTAGGTTAGGCTTTGTTTTATTGTTAGAAGACTTACATAAATTGTTTGTCCATTGTTTTCTCAACCTATTATGAGACCCGTTCCAATCGGAGCTGACTGGCCCATTCTCAGCCTCAAATACACTTTTTGACAATTTTACAGACTTACCTGTTAAAGTTTATGTCAGGAAAAGAGGAATACTCCGAGTGTTTATGTGAATTTCTTCTGGGGAATGTACAGAAAAAAGCATTGGCCAATAGGCAAGCTGCCTGGAAAGATACAAACAAAATGCATGATATGTTACATGATATAATTATTGTTGGATGGCTTCAATTGTTCAAAGGATATCTGGTTTTGATAGCTAGCTACAGAAAAACAACTGTAGGATGATGTAAGGGATGAAGCATTAAATAATTTAGGGAGTGGGGCATGCAATTATTTTACTCTTCTTGGCATTTCCATAGCCTTAATTTATCTAATGATCTGGCCCTTACATAGCCATAAGGAGAAAAGGACTTTACCTTCAAAGGTTGAAAAGGACTCTCTCATAGTGAGCACATTTAAGGACAATAAATGTGATAAGTACAGAGATTTTGTTCATTGGATATCTTATTAGCACACAGATAATTGGGATCCCTGTGTCCTCAATTGGGAWCCCTGTGTCCYTACCTGGTGTTGGCTCATTGTTACAGAATGGTTTCTATGCTGTTTCATTAGAGGTATTGCCTGTTGTGAAAAATACAAATGAATGAACGGATGGGAAAAGGGAGTGATGAAAGAATGGATAAATGGATGAATGAATGAATGAATTTCTCGAAACAAAAGTGGATGAACAGATGATTAAATGAGCAAAAATTCATACAAATTTACAGATGGATAAACAAGTTTAAGCAAGTAAAAGGAAATGGAAGCCATACCTGTGTACAAATGACAGGGAGCTGAAGAGCAAGTCTTACCATTGCAGGTAAAGTATTGACAAAAAAATCATTCCTCTCTTGACCATCCAATACCTAAATAAAGACACAATACATTGGGATCTCTGTGTTAAAATCACGAGATATTGGGTTCCCTGTGTCATTGGGATTCCTGTCTTTGAAAACCTTTTTAAAATGCACACAATTGCTGACTTTAATAAAAATCAAAACCTGAACTCTGAGCATCCCATAATATGTTTTGAAACAAAAAAGGTWGGACTGCTATGTTGTAAGTTAAATATAGGAATCTTACCAATCAAAATAATTTTTTGGGTATACTGATTAAAAGCTGTACTACTGGTCTACCTCATTAAAATAGCTATGGAGAGCTCCAAAATTCCATCTGGATGAGTATCTTGCATTGTATTTCAAGATCGCATCCTAGAAATAACATATATACACATTCAAATAACATATATTGTGGTGACTTTGAACACTGATTTACACACTTTTCTGGATTTCATTACTCCATTGCCCTGGATGTTTCGTAGACAGACCAGACATTATTGATTGAGAAGACAAACTAGAGAAGATCTCACTCACCTGTAAATCATAAGAGCTTTTCATTGGTCCAAGAAGAGTCGACTCTATAAGCTCCCATCTTTTCTGGACTTTCTTGTCAGAATTCTTATGAATGAATTTAAAGGAGTGTCATTAGTTMTGGGAAATGGTTAAATGGAAGGATGCTCAATGAGATAATGAAGAAATGAATGGATGAATAAGTGAATGCATGAATGTATTTGTGAGCATTTGTTATGTTTGAATGGGTGGGTGATGAATCAATGGACGGATGAACAAATGAATAAATGCACAGATGGGAAAATGAATGAATAACAAAATGGAAAAAAATAAATGGATGAGAAATAAATGAATGAATGAGCAAAGAATAGAATAAGACAGTGAGAAAAACTACCTGTACAGGATAAAGGTTTTCCACTGAGCACGGCATCCTAACATGATCTTTGTCCCACTTGTCCCTAGAAAAAGTTATTACATTGAATACTGACACAATATAATTCCATATCAAAGCTGCTAATAGACCCTTTTAGCGATCTCTTTCATGCTGTGTTAGCCTTAAAACCATGTAATAAATTCTTTTATTCAGTAACAGCCCGTGCAAATGCAAGAGATCTGTGAGTATAGAAGACAATAGAAATAGTTTGAAATTTCACGAGTTTTGTCTACATTTTTGAATATTTTACATGCAATTGAGGCTAACACAGCGTAAAAGAGATTGCGAAACTCAACTATTACATTACCTATATGTACTGTATGATGGTTTTGGCGGTTGAGCAAAGTCACCATTTTTTGACACCTTTTAGATTATAAGACAAAGTTAAAGCGTTTGTTCTAAATGACTTAAAACATCAAAAAAAAAATACAAATATCAACTGTACCCTGATTAGCACTGTATGATCCGGCTGTGGCATGGGAGGCGGCAAAGGGGCGCTGCAAGCTGGYGTCTTGTTTAAGATACACAATGGTGCACCCTAGTGATATGTAAAACATAAAGAGATTAGAATTTTTATTTCATACTTTCATCAATTAAGCTTCCAGTTTTCTGAGTTCTTTGGCATTAAGGAAGGGGTCTCAAAATAGTGGCTAAAGGAGTCTCTCACGGAGATTCAAAAGTCCAGTTCCAGTTGTGTGAGTTCCTTGGCATTAAGGGAGGGGTGTCAAAATAGTGGCAAAAGGAGTTTCTCAAGGAGATTCAAAAGTCCAGTTCCAGTTGTCTGAGTTCCTTTGGCATTAAGGGAGGGGTGTCAAAATAGTGGCAAAAGGAGTCTCTCACGGAGATTCAAAAGTCCTGTTCCAGTTGTCTGAGTTCCTTTGGCATTAAGGGAGGGGTGTCAAAATAGTTGCAGAAGGCGTCTCTCAAGTAGATTCAAGTTTTAAAGGGAAGTTAGAAGATGGAGAAAGAAGGAGGAGGGAGGGATATCAAAGCAGTTCTTTGAAGTTCAAACATCTGACAGCACAATTCAGTGTCCTTTAGCAGATTATATACATTATATTTAGTTAGAGGCTTTTTAGTGCAGTCATGAGAAAAGTCAGTTATCCAAAGGGTACATTAACCATGATACACTTCAGCCATAAATTGATTTATTAATTACAAATCAATTTAACTTACTCCTGARGTAATTCTAGGCTCTGCATCACTTGGAGAAAATTCATATTCTTCAGGCAAAGGTGGAGAACTACAAAAAAAAAATAAATAAAAAATAAAATCATAATGTAGAGTACAAACAAAATACCTGCTAAATAGATAATTATGCTAAATTATGCTACTTCCTTTGTTTCCTAAGTATTGTCACACACTAGGATGTATTCTTTTACGGCAACCGGTACACTGGTTTATTGCATGTACTCGACTATGTACACTGTTTAATTTTTCAACTAAGTTGAAGTCTATTTCTTACTCTGGAAAGGTGTCAAACAGTTCTGGTGAAGACATAACTTCTTCTTCATTCTCACTCAAAGCACCATGACTGCTGCCTGCTTCAACAGCAACATCAGACCCAGAACCTTCTGACAGACCAAGYGGACTTGCAATGGACTTAATTGATAATCTTTAAAAAACAAAGGAAAGAAGAATTCAATGAGAAAATTCAAGTTTAATCTTGCATTCATTATAGTTGATCTGAAAACAAAAACAACAACAACAAGCAAAACAGTCACAAAGGAACTAGATAAAAATTGGTACTAATTTGAAACAAAAAAAAATTAGCTATAATTGTTATTCAAATAAAATGCCAAATAAAATATTCATGTAAAGTATTAAAATATCAAGAAAATACTTTTCTGCGCTAATGAAGACCSACTATATTAGAGTCCAATATTAACATTAACGTCGTTTGAATTTTCTTCTTTGTAATTGTCATTCATTTGTTCCACCAAAGTTCTTTTTCGTTCAAAATTTATATTCCCWTATACCTTTTTTCTGCCGCCTGTGAAAGGACATTTCTACGACGAACAAGTTCCCCTTCTTCTGAAGTCGAAGGATTAGAAGTTGACATCTTTTGGTAGCTGTTTGCCAGCCGTCCTGCAAAAAACATTTCGGAAACAAATGAAGTCTTTTGACTAAATGTAGAGGTTATCTTTTGATTTACYGTACACAATAGCACAACAGCTGATGCAAATTTTGCTTTAAAAAATTGCTGTCAAAATAAATCGGGTCGTGCTCACGAAATCCATGCACCGAACTTTATCGATCATCAATAAGGTTGGAAATTAATTTTTTATTAGGTTCGGAAATCAATAAATCATCCATTGCAAAGACAGAAATTACTGCGTTGTCTTAGCAATCTTAACAACAGCATCCTCTAGTCGCTATGATTAGGTTTCTACCCACTCTAAGAACCGTAATTCCCTTATCTTAATGGGTWATATGTTAATGGMAGAAACATAAACCGACCTGGATCGTCTTGCACAATGTCGACGTGGGTCTTATGTCGTTTSAAACTCTCTTCGATACTCCACTGTTTCAACCTCTTTCGCTTTTTGTCGTCACTAAAGCCTATATTCATCCTTTCTGTATTAATATCCTATAAAATCAACCTTTGTCAATTGAATTTCACTGTACAAAAAGCATTTTTTCATGTAATGTTTTGGAAAAACAACACGTTTGCCGCCATAACACGAGGCTAGGCTACTAAGGTRAAACCGCTGAAAAATACGCGCCTGCGATCGCCGCCATTTTGAGTTCTAGAAAACTTTTACGAGGAAAGCTTTGAATTGAAATTACTAAAGACACGATTTTGCGATTATGGGAGATAGGTTAAAGGAAATCAGAGAGAGATCAAAGCTGAGAAGGCAATTATTAGCCCAGCAGGTAATTGAAATATGCACAAGAAGGGTTAGAGACCGATGGCATACCGGCACTTTTTCTCAAAATATTTTCGTTGTAAAACAAAAATTAGTTTATTGAGMATTCTTTTTTATCAATTATTCCATTTATTCTTTGATTTTAAGCTTGGAGCATCTGGTGCAGATAGTATTGGGGAACTACTTGGTAGCAAAAGTGAACTAGAGCAGAAAAAATTACAATCAAAGGCTGAGCCTACAGATCAGAATGACAGCAGTCAACCTCCAGCGAAACGAAAAGCCGAAGAATGCAGCGAATTGCCAGGAATTCGTGCTGGACCAGTAAAGGTATTATGATAACAAATGAATCAATTGCATAAAAATTGCAAAAATAGCAACAGTGCATTGCATTATAATAGGTAATATACATGGAGGTGAGCCAGGGGGGCTACAATTCCTTCAGAGYCTGTGAATACCGCCATCTCTCCCAGCAATCCCAGCCATTTARTATTCTCTCCCAGTCATTTGATTTCAAGTGKCGATCAAAAACAGCTGACTTTCACAGGCTATTTCTTTCATGATTTGTATTTCGTTCAMTTT